AATTTAGTTACTACTTTTTCGAATACTTTCCCAACTGTACTGAGTAAAGATATAGGTCGGTAATTAGAGGGTTTAGATTTGTCACCTTTTTTAAAACAGGGCATCACTAGAGCATGTTTCCAAGCGTTAGGAAAAAATCCAGTATCGAGAGATGTCCTAAAAATACGAAACAATGGCACTGCGATCGAATGGGCTGTATTTTTTAACATGTTATTACTAATAGTATCAGGACCAACAGCTTTATTAATATTTAGGGATTTCAAAATATCGGTTATGTCATTAGTCGTAAAATATATGTCTGTTAAGGAGGAGTCCGTTCTGGTGTCAGCAGTCGGTACTTCAACGTTAGAATCGTCAATCGTTGATATAGACACAAAATAATCGTTTAGAATGTTAGATTTTGTTTCGTCGGACGTTTCTATGTCTCCGTTCGTCGGGTTCGTTAGAGGTGGAATAGAGTTTGATTTGTCAGAAGTCTTAATTAGGTTACGAACAGTTTTCCAGAATTTTTTGGGGTTCGAGTCAGTAAAGCTGTCTAAGAGTCTATTTATGTTCGCATAAAATAGTTCTTTCGTACGTTTCTTAAGGTTATTGACGTGGTTACGTTGTCGTCTAAATCGGTCATGATTATTGTCCGTGCGGTTGTTTTTAAATATCTTTAAGTAACGAACTCTTTTCCTTATTTCTCGTCGAAGTTCTGAATTAAACCAGGGTTTGTCAGTCGGCCGTATAGTAATTGTTATAAAATGGCAGGAGCCACCACACTTTGTTCCGAATGACTGAATCAGACGAAAACGATGGCGCCTCCACCTGATAATCTCTACTGTTGTGTTGCCGTTTTATTTCGATATGAAAAAATAATTATTGCACTTCGGGATACTTGACTAATCGCAGGGAAATAGTTAATCATGTTTACCTACAACAAGAACAATAAATGTACAAATAACATATTTATACATGAATGTAATCTAAATTATTTTTAAATATGAGGAATATTGTCATTGGTTGTATACTACACAATCTTTAGAAACATGTCCACAGACTTCCTTTCCACGTAACTATATGATTTAAATACACAGAAGGGAGATTGAAATAGCCGACATCAATGAGACTATTTTTGAAGCGTACACCCGTTGCCTACATTTGATTGTGATGGTCCTCAGTTTGTATGTCCTGTACGTACGGAGCGTCCTTGTTACATTGTACAAATACTAGTCGTTGAGGAGAACGGTGTTGTTTAGAGAATTATTCTCCTGTTCTTACACGTGTAACTGGAAAGAGAATATTTTACTTCCACCGCGGATCGAACCGGCGATCCCTAGGGTTCCTAGTCGGACGCTCTACCACTGAGCTAAAGGAAAATTCCCTCTAAAGCTCGAAGCTAGAAGGCGAGCGTAATCCTATGTATAATTAAAATCTGTCAAACAGGCTTAGTGGGTATAGGCCCTCAATAGCTGTCTTTAGTGTCCAGTATTTTGAGAGTTCAACAAGTCTCATTCTAAATAGGCATACTTTTTCCTTGTTTCTCCTTCACTTGACGGTGTGTGCGGTGTCTTTAGAAGGCCTTGGTTAGGTTGTGCTAGGTTTATTGTTACACAAAGGGAAACATTTTAGATTGTGAATTTATCCATGTACGGTACACTACAAGAACGTGTGTGAGAGTGTAAATCAGATCTACTTGAGACTAAATGGTAAGCTATCACTAATAAAGGAAATTGGTTGTGCTACGTTTCAGTTTCAGGAATCGATCCAGGAGTTTGGAACATTCCCGGA